CTAATTACACAGTAGCTAATCAACCCACCAATCCAGCCAGCCCATCATCCCCTCCCTCATTCCCTAGGTAAACAGCCAAGAAACACTTTATCACTGGTTTCCAGAGCTTCAAAGAACAGTTCTGGTCATTCAAAATAAGATGTGATTAGTCCTATACCAAAAAGCCTACCACCTTGCAAGTTCCACTCTTTACATCTAGGTGAGATTTTTTTTAAATCCATAACACTGATTTTATTTTTAGTGATCATTTTGCTCATGTGTAACATGACAAAAACTCTATAATTTCAGATGTTTCATGTTCTTTTTCATTAATTCAGCCTATAGGTCAAGATGAAAACAGTGAAAATATATCACATGTCCATTCAATCTACAGGAATTCAACTATTATCTACAACAAAGGGAAAGAGATTTAAAAAAAAAAAAAAAAAAAAAGACTCACAAAGAGCTAGGGACTCTGTATACGGTTCCACTCAATAACTACATGCTTCAGCGTGAGCCTGGGAGAGGAAATGGGTATCTGCTGTCCTTTTGGTCAGTCTCAGTTTTTGCATGCACGAGCAATTTCATCTGTGCTCAAAATAACAAACAGCATGCCATTCCATTCCAACATGCAGCAAAAACTGGCTGTGCTGGAATTCCTGAGAGATCCTATGTCAGTCTCCAACATGACTCCTTCCCAGGGTACTTTGAGGGTACTCCATTTTCAAGGGTACTCAATTTCACCTTACTCATGTACTTTAGAAACAGACCCTGTGTTTGATGCAATGCTGCTATATACTGAGATGAGCTGCTTACCTGACCCCTGAGTTTCTTTCCAAGAACAGGCCCATTTAGGTAACTACGGTCCCAGCGCTTAGAGCTGCCACTATGAAAATGCCTAAACTGTTTCCTTTTCTCTTCTCTTGGTAAATGTCTAAAAGAGAAGAGTGATCATTTAAAACTTAGGAAGTACATACAGAACAATAAATGTTAAAAAGAAAAGTGAAGGAAAAGAAGAGTGCCTGATATGGAACATTCTCAAGGAATTCATACATTGGGGCCGAAAACTAGCCTCAACAAATTTAAGATTGAAATCATACCAAGCATATTCTCTAACCACAACACTTTGAAATTTGAAATCAACTGCAAGAAGAAAGCTGGAAAAACCACAGATATGTGAAGATTAAACAACATGCTACTGACCAATGACTGGGTCAAAGGAGTAATAAAAGAAGAGATGAAAAGATAGAGACAAATGAGAATGACAATAAGACATATCAAAAAATTTTAGGATGCAGCAAAAGTGGTAATAAGAAGGAAGTTTACAGCATTACAGGCCTACCTCAAGAAACAAAAGAAATCTCAAATAACCTATCATTTCACCTTAAAGAACTAGAAAAAGAACAAAACAAAGCCCGAAGACAGTAGAAGGAAGGAAATAATAAAAATGAGAGCAGAATTAAACGAAATAGAAAACAAAAAGACAACAAAAAAATTAAGGCAACAAAGAGCTGGTTCTTTGAAAAGGTAAATAAAACTGACAAATCTCTGGCTAGATTTACCAAGGGGAAAAAAGAGAAAAGGCCCAAATAAACAATATCAGAAATAAAAAAGAAATTACAAAGGACACTACAGAAATACAAAGGACTACACAAGGATACTATTAAAGGCTATATACCACCAAATTTAATAAATTAGAAGAAATAAACAAGTTCTTAGAAATAAATAACCTTCCTAGACTGAATCATGAAGAATTGGAAAATCTAAATAGACCATTCGACAGTAACGGTCTTCAAAAATCTCTCTCAAAAAAAAAGTGTAGGGCCGGATGGCTTCACTAGTGAATTCTACCAAACAGTCAAAGACTTAATACCTATGCTTCTCAAATTCTGCCAAAAAAGAGGCAATATTTCCTAACTCATTACCCTAATGCCAAAACCTCAACAAGGACAACACAAAAGAAAATGATAAGCCAATATCTCTTATGAATATACATGCAAAAATTCTAAACAAAATACTAGCAAATGGAATACAATAGTACATTTAAAAGATAATACACCATGATCAAGTGGGATTCCTTCCAGGGGCACAAGGACGTTTTTAACATACACATATCAATCAATAGGATACACTACATTAACAAAATAAAAACTAAAATCTTATGTTCATATCAATAGATGCAGAAAAAGCACTTGACAAAATACACCATACATTTATGATTACAACACTAAAAAAAAAAATGGTATAGAAGGAAAGTACCTCAACATAAAGGCCATTATGACACTCAGCTACTATACTCAACGGTGAGAAACTGAAAGATTTTCTTCTAAGATCAGAAACAAGACAAGCATGCCCACTCTCACCACTGTTATACAACATCATATTGAAGTCCTAGCCAGAGCAATCAGGCAAGAGAAAGAAATAAAAGGCATCCAAGCTGTAAATAAAGAAGTAAAACCGCCACTTTTTGCAGATGACATGATTCTATATATAAAAAACCCTAAAGACTCCACCAAAAACCTATTAGAAACAATAAATAAATAAAGTTGCAGGATACAAAATCAATGTACAAAAAATCCCTTGTATTCCTATAAACTAGCAATGAAATATCAAAAAGAAATAAAAACAATTCCATTTGCAATTGCAACAAAAAGAATATAATACCTAGGAATAAACTTAACAAAGGAGTAAAAGACCTATACACTGAAAACTACAAGGCATTGTTGAAAGAAATTGAAGAAGACACATGGAAAAATATCCCATGTTAATGGATTGTAAGAATGGCCATATTACCTCAAGCAATATACAAATATAATGCAATCCCCATCAAAATCTCCATGGCATTTTTCAAAGAAATATAACAAAAATCATTAAATTTGTATGGACCACAAAAGGCCCTGAATAGCCAAAGTAATACTGAGAAAAAAAGAACAAAGTATCATACTCCCTAACTTCAAATTATACTATGAAGCTACAATAATCAAAACAGTATGGTATGAGCAGAAAAACAGATACACAGACCAATGGAACAGTATTGAGAGCTCAGAAATAAACAGCATGTATGTACATGGGCAACTAATTTTTGACAAAGGAGTCAAAAACATACAATGGAAGAAAGAAAGCTTCTTCAATAACTGGTCCTGGGAAAATTGGAAAGCCACATGCAAAAGAATGAAATTAGACTGCTATTTGACACTAAACGCAAAAATAAACCCAAAATTGATTAAAGACTTAAATATAAGATCTGAAACAATAAAATACATAGACGAAAACATAGGTACTAAACTTATGGACCTTGGTCTCTGAGAGGATTTTATAAACTTGACCCCAAAGGCAAAGGAAGTAAAAGCAAAAAAAAAAAAAAAAAAAAAAGGATGGGACTAAAAAAGCTTATAGACAGCAAAAGAAACCTTCAACAAAACAAAAAGGCAACCAACAAAAATGGAGCTAATATCCAAAATATGTAAAGAACTCATACAATCCAACAACGAAAAAACAATCCAATTAAAATACAAACAGAGGGCCTGAACAGACATTTTTCCAAAGACGTACAAATGGTCAACAAATATATGAAAAGATGTTCAACTTTAATAGCTATAAGGGAAATGCAAATCAAAACCACAATGAGATACCATCTCACACCTGTTAGAACGGCTATTTTCAATAAGACAAGAAAGAAACTGCTGCAGAGGATGTGGAGTAAAAGGAACCCTCATTCGCTGCTGTAAATTGGTACAGCCACTATGGAAAGTAGTATGGAAATTTCCCCCCAAAATTAAAAATAGAGCTACCATATGACCCAGCAACCCCTTTTCTGGGTATCTACCCAAAAAATTTGAAAACATTTATCCATAAAGATATGTGTAACCCTATGTTCACTGCAGCATTACACACTGTAGCCAAGACATGGAAACAACCTAAGTGTTATTCAGTGAATGACTGGATAAAGAAGGTGTGGTACATACATATAATGGACTACTACTCAGCCATAAGAAAGGATGAAACACTGCCATTTGTGACAACATGGATAGATCTTGAAAGTATCACACTAAGCAAAATAAGTTAGATGGAAAAAGACAAGAACCATATAATTTCAATAATATGTGGGATATAAAACAGAAAGCAACAAATGAACAAAATAAACTAAGAGACACAGACAACAGAAGGGTGGTTACCAGAGGGGAAGGGAGGTGGTGGAGGAAGGATAAAGAGGGTCAAATATATGGTGACGGAGAGAGACTAGACTTTGGGTGGTGAGCACATAATGCAATATACAGATGATGTATTACAGAATTGTACACTTGAAACTTATATAATATTATTAACCAATGTTACCCCAATAAATTTAATTTTAAAAATAAACGACATTAAAAAAAGAAGAGTACCTGAGACCTACCTGCACATGGTGCTAAGTTACTATTATGAATCATCAGACATAACTCTGATAGCCTCATTCTAAAAAACAAAAACCTAAATCCCCTGTAACAAATACAAAACAAGAACCAAGTCTACAAATATCTATATTACGTATGAACCCTGACATTATTCATCAGCTTTATATCAATATGTGTTTGAGGCAATAAGTAAAATGAATAAAAGAGAAAAAAAATCACTTCTTTTCAGCTTCTAAGAAAGGATCTCTGTTATAAGAGATTCCATTATAAGAATCTCTGTCAAAGACTCATCCCAACCTCAGAGAACTCCTAAGAAGCACATGAGCCTTGTGTGGGCTGAAATATATTCTTTTTTCTTCTTCACTGAACTGGTATGGGTGGAAAGTTAAATTCACAAAAGACAGGATTGCATTCAGTTGTAGGCTGAGTAGATGGTGGCCTTCCCACCCATCTTAATTAACTACCAATTAATTAAATTGCCACCTCAATTTGTCTTGGTTAGGTGTCAAGGAAGATGTACAGTCACAAGAGATTTATTTTTATTTTTTACTTTCTGAAAGAGCAAGAGGAGGCTTCTTGCTGAACTGCAGTGGAAAAAACAAATTCGACTACAGTTAAAACATGCACCTTCACCACCATTCCTCTGGAAAACTGCTCCTTCTTCACTCCAACCATGTAATTGGTGGTGCTGCCAGTCAAATACCATATCTGCCTAGCCAGAAGAGTAGGCAGAGAATATTCTTGAGTCCAATTTGGCCAATCAGTGTCCTTCCCTTGGTTTTGTAAATATTGAAGGTAGGAGTTTTCTCTTTACTCTGGGTGCTTGGAAACTTGGAAGATGTAACACAGGGGCTATTATACAGAATGGAGATAATTCAAACATTAATCCAAAGTTCAGTTAAGAACAGAACAGTTTAATCTTACAAATATACACATATAACACCTGAAGCTGTGGGTCAAGAGAAGAAACTATCCAACCTCTGTGAAAACTATAAAAAGATCAAAAGTTAAACATACTTCATTAAGTTCAAAGGGCCTTACTTTTCATTTACACACATAACTGACTTTTGGTGTCTCAGTGGTTCAAATGTCTATGAAAAGAGCGAGATATAGCTAAAAATCAAGATATCCTAATATTCTGAGACAGACTAACATCCATCTGCTTAGTAGCGGGATGGAAAACATACATCCAGGCACAAAGGAAATATATAAAAGAAAATCACGTATTACTCTTAGAGCTCTGGAAAGAATTTTTTCACATGTAACTATGTCTCTTTAACATATGAAGCCCCATAGTTCAACCAGAATCTTGCCCACCCCCACACTTATCTTTATTCTACATTCTGTGGAACAAGCCAGCTACTGCCAGAGGATTCAATATCTACTCTCTGCTTAACTTGAACCATGAGCAAACCCCTATCTTTACACAAACATATGTAGATCCTCCATCCCCATTTGTATTAAATATACTTCAAACACACACACCTGACATGTAATTATCTCCCCATCACAGACATCTGTAGCAGAGTTGGTGCTACAAATTAACAACATCCATGTCTGTTTGGCTTGGGTTTCGTGTGTGTTTTGCGTTTTGGGGGTGGGGGGTGCAGCGCTCAGGAGGGTACGGTAGAAGGTGGATAATGCAGAGGACACAAGCTTTCCTGTCCATTCTAATATTAGTCTAATATTTAGTAGGGTAGGGAGGATGCATATCTATTTGGAGAAGGCTCCAAGTGTTCTTGATTACCTATGGCCATGGAGGTAATCCTACTTCATCTCACCCTAATCTCCTTTGAAACACACCTAAACACTTTAGGCTGCTGATTCCCTCCTTCCCCAGGTACCACACTTGAGAGAACTAACCAGGCCACGGGAGTAGCCCTGAACGTTAGAGACCCACCTGTTCCCTTGCCGCCCTCACTCTGGGGCACACCTTGCAGGCAGAGAAACTGGCACCAGCCTAACAGAGTGCGCACCAATCCTAAAAGGTGGACACCCCATCTAAGCCCCAGCCTCACGCTTGGGGAGCATATTCACCCCAGTCCTCGAGGGATGGAGGAGCTTACACATGCGCCCCACGCCGAAAGGCGGGCTGCACACCTGCTCCGCCCGGGGGAGGGGTGTTATCACCGGCCTCCTACTCTCATCATCTAGGGGAGCGAGTGCACCTGTCTCTCAGCCTCCCATTCGTTTATCAGCAAGTGGAAACTGCCCGACCTAGTCCCAGGCCAAACCAAGGGCTCACCGTTCCGCCCCAGAGTCACCCCACCCGGCCGGTGGGCCCCGGTCCAGTTAGCCTGTCAGTGGCCGCCCCTTCAGCCACCCAGAGGCCGCGCCGCTGTCGCGCGACAGGAAAGGGCGGCGGCTCAGGGACCTGAGGTGTGTTCTTTTCCCGCCTGGCGAACAGCCCCTCACTACTGTCCCCACCCCCACCCGCACACCCTCCCGAGATTCCTCACCTGCGCTTGTGGCCATTCCTGCCCCGGGCCCCGGCCCACGTGACCCCGCCCCTTGCTCTAGCCTTACGCACGCGCAGTGTCTACCACTACGGGCCACGCTTCCGCTTTCCTCCACTCGCCCTTGACTCTCCTGGGCGGTCCGCCCCTCTACGCCACGCCCTCATTTAAAGGGCCAGAAATACACCGTCCCACCCCAGGGACTAAGGGGTGATTAACCTCTTGGGGAACAAGAGAATGGAAATGTCGGGAGGAGCGCAGAACAATAACAGTCCTTGAGGTGAGAAGAGAAACAGTTCTCCAGCCCTAAGCCAATGAATCTATCTAGCCTTTAAGAAAGTGAACCTACTATCTTCAGCCGTCCCGGAAGGGCAATTGATTTCCCAGGCTTTTGGAGTTTGCAGCCTGTAATTTTTTCTTTCTATCATTTTAAAGACGAACATAGAATTGCGAGCTTTGTGTTTTTCCACGTAAGGACAGTAAGTACACACACACTAAAAACCAACTATTATTTTCTAATTTGTTGACATTGCTCCACAAAAATACATCTTAACACCAAAAATATAAGAGAGACACGCTCTCAAATAAAGGAAATCTATTTTAAATGGGTAAAAACATATACTGATTTCTTTCATTCCTTCTGGTGATGAGAGTTTTCAGGACAAACTGGTTTTTAGAGACACCACCATAGATAACATTGGCCCTAGGGAACCTATGGGCAAGAAAACAGGAGGAAGAACATCGCAACGTGCTCCTGGGAGGAGATACAGAAAATACTCCGTTGGGCAGACATTTATTGAGAATCAACGAGGTTCACTACACACCCGGGCCTCTGAAGGACCCAAAGGTGGGTAAGACACAGCCCTGCCCTCCAGGTACTCTTTGTGTACAGACATAGCCATACAAGGCAGGCTGTTTTGAGTGGCATAAGAAAGGTATGACACCATCATTTTAGGATTACAGATGAGGGGGAAAGCTGGAACACTTAGGGAGGAGGTGGTGTCTTATTAGGGCCTTGAAGGATTTCAGCAGACAGAGAGTGAGGAGAACTCCTGGCTGGGGAACAGTGGTGTCAAGGGCAGTGCACTAGGTCTCCCTATCCTCGGGGAATGCATTCCCAGACCCCCAGTGGATGCCTGACACTGAGATAGTATTGAACCTTACATATATGTACTCTGTTTTTTCCTGTATGTACATATTTATGCTAAAGTTTAATTTATAAATTAGTCACAGTAGGAAATTAGCAACAGCAACTAATAATACAACAAAACAAGTATAACAATACACTGTAATGAAAGTTATGTGAATGTGATCTCTCTCTCAAAATACCTTATTGTAGTGTGGTCACCTTTTCATTTAAAGGAAGCACTTTAAGGCTTCTGTTTGGCATGTCCAAATTGTCGACGTCACTATTCTTGCGTTTTGGGGCCATTTTTAAGTAAAATAAGGGTTACAAACACAAGCACTGTAATACCGGGACAGTCAATCTGATAACCCAGATGGCTACCACGTGACTAATAGGCAGTAGTGTATATAGTGTGGATACTCTGGAAAAAAGAATGATTCATTTCCCGGGGGGATGAAGCCGAACAGAGAGAGATCTTATCACACTACTAAGAAGAGCACACAATTAAAACTTATGCATTGTTTATTTCTGGAACTTTTCATGTAATATTTTTGGACCCTGGTTGACCTCAGGTAACTGAAACTGCCTATGAGGGGGACTACTGTACAAAGCAAGATTAGGGACTACCTGCTGGCCTGATGTGGCTGTGGCAAGGGGAGTGTCTTTCAAACTTCTTTGATCATCACTCAGTAACAAATGCATTTCAGCTATGTCCTAGTATACATATACATACTGTGTGTGTATGTGTACATCCGAGACAGTAACTGTATTGAGTATATATGTGCAAGGCAACTTGATATTTTCTTTTTGGGTGTGTTTTTTTTAATGCTGGTTACTAAATTGATTTCCTGACTCACTAATGCATAGCAACCCATAGTTTGAAAGCACCTGTGTAGAGTGAGGTAGAGGTACATTGGGATATGTAACTGGAAAGGCTGAGACTAGATCCAGGAGGACATTGAATGTGAAGCTGGGGGGCCCACTTGCCTGGTAAGAGACTTTGGAGGTTCTTAAGCAGAGGAGTGACATGACTATAGCCATAGTAACTGTAGAAAGTAAATCTGGAACCTGTGGATGGATGTTGGGAAGTGATTCCAGCTCACAATAAGAAGTGTTTTAGGGTGGTCTCCGCTGATATGTTGTGCTTTACAGAGCTGTTTACATTAATTAAAAATAAAAATATTGTATACTTATTATAGAAAACTTGGAAAAATTAGGAAATACAAAAAGTAAAACAGAAATGACCCACATTCCAAAAATGCACTCATGGTTTTGGCTTGGGTTTTTTACTTTGCATATTTACATTTTTGACTTAATAGAACTATATAGAATATAGGGTCCAGTATCCTAATTTTTTTCTTTTTACTCAATGTTTTATCTTGAACACTATACACTGTTACTAAAATTGTTCTCAAATATTATTTGTAACAGCTATATAATTGTTGATAATGTAGTTTCTTTTATTCTTTTTGGACATTTAAGGGGTTTCCTATTTCTTCATTGTTAACAAGAACATTGCCATGAATATCCTTCTACTAAAATTTTTGCCCACATTTTAAAATTATTTTCTTAGGATAGAAGCATGTAAGTGAAATTACTTATTCAAGGGCTTTGAAAGCTCTTAAGTCTGTGAATGCCAACTGCCAAATTGCTTTCCAGAAAGGTCAGGCCAGTTTCCAGTCTCACCAGGAGTGCTCCAGGGTGCCGATCACACATACACACCTGCGTTTATTTTATCTTTTAAAAAAGCTTTGCCAGTTTTATAGAGGAAATTGCCTCCCATTTTAATTCGTATTGGATTACTAGTGGGGTAGAATATCTTTATAAATTTATCAACCCTTTATTAGTTATTCTGCAAATGCAATTTTACTGCCTATGTTTGCATTTGTAATTGGCAAATAGTACTAACTGAATTGTTGCACACTTATGAGAAAAAAAAAACACAGAAGGATTTAAAAAATAAATAATGTGGTCACACCAAGTTATAGCCAAATTATATTGTGGTGTACCGTACAAACAAAGTTTAGTGAGAGAATTGAGTCATCACAAGGTATGTGGTTAAGTAGGTCTGTGCCATTACAATCAGTAAAATATTCATGTTGAGAAGGGTGATTTAGTTTCAGCAAAATATCATTACTTATATTAAATCAACATTGTAAATTTCAGTTTCCTCATTTGGTTGTTTGGTTTGTACTTAATTTATAAATTTGTTTTGGTTTTATAAATGCATAAAATCTTTAATAAAGGAATCTTTTCCTTTGGTTTGTGCCTGCACATTTACACATATGCATATATGTGTATGCAACATTATAAAAATAATTTAAGCCAACTCTAAAGATCTGTGAGAATTTTTTTCCCTTACAAGGAATCTTAACATTGTTTAAGTTTGAGAAGCATTGATACAGGAGGTTTCTTAAAGTTTCATTTGTAATGATCTAAATACAGGCATTGAGATTTTTTTTACAAAGGCAAAAGTGGTGTCAGCTTACATAGTATTGGAATTTTTCTATACAGAATATTGTTATGATTTTCTTTCCTTTGGAAAGAGCACCGAAAGCTAAACTATGCTTAGAGTTCAGAGAGTATGTTTTGGCTTAAAATAAACCATTCATCAAAGTTAACTTTGTACAGGTCTGTAAGACCTAGATAGAAAGATGTTTGCATTGATTAAACTTGTCTTTTTAAAGTAAGACAAAACAGTTGAGCAGAAAGCAATTAAAATAGAACTTCTGTGAAGTGGGCTTAGGAGAAATTAAACCCATGAGAAAAATGTCACATGTGCAATGTAGGCGCCTTCGGCATGGGAATCAGTGAAGACCAGATGATGGCCAGGAATTAGAAGGGGAGCATCCCCCAAGGGCTACTGCAGTTGGATGATGTCCTGATATCCAACCCTACTCCTCCAGCTCTCCCAAGACTGGAAGGATGGACAGCAGGTTCAGACACTGCTGTGAACATTTCATCCAGAGTAAGACACATCTATTCTGAAGGAAAAAAATGTGTGATACCTGGGAACAAGGGGCAGAGACTAGGAAATGAATAACTGTGTAATTTTTAAAATTTTTTTTTGCTTACAATCACAAAATAAATTGGCCTCTGTCTTTTCTTTTATATATATATA